GAAGGGGGAGGAGGGGGAGGAGAGGGGGAGGAAGGATAGAGAGGTAGACAGACGCCACGGCCAAGAGACCCACGATGACAGCGCCCGCGATGACAGACGCCACGGCAAAGAGACCCGCGTCGACATGCAAACCCACACGACCCACAGGACCGACCCGACAACGGCCCCGCCTCGAAGTTCCAAACACCTACCAGCGAACCGCACATTGTGCGGTCGGCGTCAGGCAACAGTGCCCGCATCCAGGGCTCAACGACGAAAGCTACGAGATCGGCGAAGCCCTTCGCCCTACCCCTCCTCCGACTCCTTATCGCCCTCCCTCCCCCACATGTCAGGGCCAGCTTCCGAACCTCCCAGCGCGTCCTTCCCGGGAGCCCCCTGGAGCTGAACCTCTCGGCGGTTCCACTGGGCGACGGCGTGCCCAGTCGCGGTGGTACGCTCGCGCGGGCGAGCCTCCCACTCCCCCTCCCTTCCTCGAGGCTCAAGCGTGCGCCGTTGAGCGAGGCTGGCGAAACACTATGGACCCACGAACCGGGAAAAAGATAGAAATGTGAAGCATGAAAGTGTTCAACGCCAAATCTGGGCGACGGGCAATTGCGATGCTCAAGATAACGATGGTGATGTACAGTGCCAGGGGCTGCGCTGTGCGCTGCTATGCTGTGCTGAACTCAGACGCGCCATGCGGCGTTAAAGTGCAATGCTCTATTGCATCGCGGATCAGACCGTCTGTGGGGTCAGAATCCCGATCGAACTGATCTGGGTATTGAGCTCGAGCTGCCTGAACGCATAACTCGGATCTGGCCGCAATCGAAATGCGCGTGGCGCTCGACCAGCTCGAGCTCAGGATCCAATGCAGTTCGGGAGCGGGACGAACCGAAAGGAGGCACATCTTAACAGTGTTGTGCCCTGTTGCGTCGCGGATCAATTCTTCCCTGGCATCCGAATCCTGACAGAACTGAGCTGGGCCTCAAGCTCGAGATGCCTGGGCGCAGTGCTCGCCCAGAGCTGATTGCTGTCGAGACCAGGTTGAAGGACTACGTCCCGCAACAAGGCGAAATCATAAGGACGAGTCCAAAACGAGGCGACGTGCATCGAGAAGGGACGGACCGAAACGCCGACGACGACACCGACGGCGGACGGCGACGACTGCGACCGCGGTTCCAGCTCGGGACCACTAGGTTAGACATCCACCTGGGTCGCCCGAGCACGTGAAAGCACCCGGTCCCAGCTCGGGGCCACCACGTGGGGTACCCCAGCAGGAAATCCGTGGGAAATCACCAGCGGGAGGCGCTTCCACTCTTGGCTCAGATGTCTCGTGTGGTGTCTGTCTCGCGTGGGCCCCCACGCTGGGGGGCGCCCGGGCGGCCACATGTCAGAGACCCCCCCCCCTCGGGTGGCCCGCGCACGAAAGCACGTGCTCCAGCTCGAGGCAACCGTGTTAGACTCCAAGGGCTCCCAGCTTCGCGCTTCGCGCTGCGCGAAGCGCGAAGTGCGAATAACTTCGCGCTCTCGCACCGCCTCCCAGGGGAGAAGAAGAGGATGAGGAATCGGAGCCGAAACGCGAAGCGCGAATAACTTCGCGCCCTCGAGGGCGCCCTTGTAGACACCCCCCTGGGTGGTCCGGACACGTGAAAACACGTGGCTCCAGCTCGGTGCCCCCATGTTAGAAAACCCTCTGGGTGGCCTGAGCTCGTGAAAACACACGTCGTTCCAGCCTCAGGCCACCACGCTAGATACACGTTCTGAGTGGCCCAGGCACGTGAGAACACGTGGCTCTTGCGAGGGGCAAAAGGCAACCACCTTAGATATCCACCCCTGGGCGGCCTGGACACGCAAAAAAACACGCGGTGCCAGCTCGGAACCACCATGTGGCGCGGGCGCATTCCGCCCGCGACCCACGTCGGCGCACCCTTCGCGCGGCTTTACAGGGGGGCCCACGCGCGATCTCAGTGGGCGCCCACGCATGGCAGCCCACGCCCATGTCGTTGCGTTCCTCGCGTTGTCCGCGCCTCTGTGGAGAGCCCCGCCGAGGTTTCACTGGGCGCGTCAGCATGTGGGCACCCCGCCCATGCCGGCACGCCCCGCGCGCACCCCATGTCGCCTGCGGCCCCAGCGGAGGTCCTTGCGAGCGGTGCCCGAGGCAACTTGGCGCACCCCCTTGCGGGGAGCGCAGTCCACGCCCGAGGCGACGTTGGCGCCGTGGCCCTCCATTCGCAACGTGCAGGAATCTGTCTCTCCCGCGCTGCTGCATGGGGCCGTGCACCTAGCCAAGCTAGCGATCAGCATGAATGCATCAGCCTGCCACTGGCATTACTACGTCCAGCATCCTCACTATCAACAGTTTCATTGGTATTACTGGTTTCCGGGCAGGGGGACAAATCCAACGTAGCTAGGCTCTCCATAATTTGTTTTTGTATATCGCTCACTGTCTGCGGCGGGAACGGGCTCAGACCATTCGAAGCGCGTAGACTGCAACTCGCGCGGCGCCGATCAATCGTGCCGCTGCAGCAGCTCAACCAAGGCAAAGGTCGTCAAAGGGGGAAGCGCGGGCAAGACGCTGCGCACCTTGTGACACAGCGTCACAGCCATTGCACGGACAATCGCCTCTCCACAGCCGCGCTTCGACCGCGGGCTGGAATATGCAGGTTGAGGACCTGCGATCACGGGACGAAAGAGCGGCGCGACGTAGGACTCGGCGCTGGATCGCGGATCGGCCACGGACATCACTGCCGCCCTCGTCAGACAAAGGGCCTTCCAGGGTCTGCAGCCTCCTGGGCACATTCCTCAGCGAACGCCCCCACCGTATTGGGTCCCCCCCTGGCCTCGCCCACACTTGAATACAAGGCCCACCATCTACACTCTACACTCACTTGACCCCTCCTCGACCTCTACGACCAGGCGTTCCACATCGTGCAACAACTAACACGGATGAAGGGCGTTTCCTGTTCTCGTGAGACTTATGCGACGCAAAAGCAAACTATTCTGACGTCCTGCAATGCTGACGTAGACGGATGGAGCGCATATTCTTTTCGAAGTGGAAGTCTCCTTACGTTTCCTCCTTACGTTTCCTTGGAGGGCTCTCGCGTGGGACTTCCTCAGAACATGCGACCACGACGTTGACATCCTGCAACGCGTTGACGGGTGAAGGGCATGTGCCCGCAGTGGCAAGGCGAACCTCACTTCAAGGGGGGGCGCCCGCTGTTGAAAGGAGCACTTGTGTGGGCTCGTGAGGAGGGGACTTGGGACGGGAGGGTGTGTTGCAGTATCGGTTGATGCCTCTTGGGATTACATCCTCCTCCCCTCCTCCTCCTTCTCCTCCTGCTCCTCGTCCTCCTCCTCCCCATTTTCCTCGTCCTCCTCCTCCTCCTCAACCTCAACCTCCTCATCCTCGTCCTCCTCCTCTCGCGAGACAGATGCCCGAGACAACGACCCTCAGACGGCCAGGCTGGCTGGGGCCCAGGCGCACAGCACGCGCACGAGCCCCCGCCGCTGCTCCGGCAGGGCCTCCAGGAAGACCTCCTTGCGGCACTGGCCTCGCTGCGGGCGCTACGGTGGGGGGCATCGGCCAAGGAGCCCTGAGATAAGGAACCAAAAGGAACCCTGGGAGCCAGTGGAACTCAAATCGTGGATCGGCCATGGATATCACCGCCGCCTTCATCAGATAAGGAACCCTCCAGTGCCTGAAGCCTCCTGAGCGCACTCATCAACAGAAGCCCCGACCGTAGAGCGTCTCATGCAGGCCTCGCAGCAGGCGCTAAGGCCTCACCAAAATGGATAAACAACTACACCAGAGAAAAATTCCAATCAGTGGATGGTTTTCGCTGAGGAGGTCGACCGGGAACCCGGGAGCCCGGGAACCCAGACTCGGCCCGGAACCAATAACAGGGACCCCGGGAACCCGGAACCGGGAACCCGGGAACCCAGCCTGCTACCAAAATCGGCGGGAAACTTTCGCCAAATCTTTCAACTTCCGCTAGGACCCCTTCAGTGCAAGCTGATTGGGGAATCTCGAGGCAGCGCAGCAGAAGTCAGAGCACCCGTTGTTTAATGAGAGCACGGGCACCCGTTCAGAACCTACCAGTTTCGTTTCCACGGCTGCCGTGAAGCAGCAGACGAGGAAGCGTGCACGAGCGGAGGCCCACGCGCGGTGGCGGCGCAGCGTCCGCAGGGACACCCGCGAGCAGTCGCGCGTGTCCCATCGCGCAGCGAAGCGCCATGGCGCGAATCGAGACGCGGTCGGGGATCGATATCCTGCAGCCCCTCGCGGCCAAAGACCTTCCCCATCCATCCCCGCTCCCCCCCCCCTCTGGGGCAGGAGGCGAGATGAGAAAGCCATGGAGGATGAGGAGGCGCAGGAGCAGCAGCCCGAACCTCCCAAATCTCCGACGGCGCGACATGTTCGCGACGTGGACCCCCGGAGGCCTGCGCCCCTTCCCCGGGGCGGGACCTCCCTCCTGGCTCGTTCCTGGCACTCCCGGGGCCCCGCGGGGGCCCCCACGGAGGCCGCAGCCGGCCAAAGCTCCCCCGCGCCGCGGCTTCGCCGCAGCGGACACGGAGCCTGGGCTCCGCCCTCGTGCCCCGCTGGCCTGGGTAGTGCTGCAGCAGCACCACCGTCCTGGCCGTCCCCTCCCGGGCCCGCCGCGACAGCAGGTCCATGGACGCCTGCCGGCCAGTGGAGCGCCCGCCGACGTCGCCACCGCCGCCGTCGCCGTCGGCGTCCTCGCCATCGTCGCCGGCGTCGGCGTCGTCGGAGTCAGCGTCGGAATTGGCGTCGTCCTCATCGTCATGTTCGTCGCCGCCGACGCCGTCGCATGTCGTCGTCGGCGGCGGCGTCAAAATCGGCGTCATCGTCATGTTTGCCGCCGCCGCCGTCGCCGTCGCCGTCGTTCGAGGGTGAAGGCTTTTCTATCAGGTGCGAATCCTTTTGGACCATGGGGTGTACCCCCATGGCCACGGCTAGATCAACCTCAAACTCTGGTCCAAACGCAACCCGAGGCAAGTCG